CACTCATAAACGTTCACATTTGAACGCTTCTTAATTTTTCCTCTGCTGCCTCTTTTGCCAGACTTATCTTAGTGTTTCCATGATTCACTTATCTATAGTTAAATAATACTTTGTTATAGCTAGTTTGTTATACTTACTTTGTTTTAGCTATTTTGCTATAACCTTACGTCTCCTGCTCTGTTTAGGAACGCTTTCAGTGAGATGATTTGGAACCAGTGATTCCATAATTAGATGTAAAAATTTAATGTATCTTTCTCGCCTGTGTTCCAGGGATTCCCAATAATTTCAATGTTTGAACTGGTACACTCACTGTAAAAGCTCAGTACAGTCTCCAGATTTGCAGTCCCGTCTGTCTTTTTTGTGGCTGCTAGAGTAAGATTATTGAGGTACAAGTACACATAAGAACAGTTATCACGCATGGTAACATATGATGCAATAAGATCACAATAAACAAGTGATATCACAATATGCTAAACAACCAATGTGAAAAAAAAAGGTGAAATGCCAGTCGCTTTTCGCTTTTCGTAATATTTTGGACCAGACCTTGATAATGTGAGATATCACACAAGCGCTTGCAATTTCACTGGGTTTTTTTTTTCACGGTGGTTGTTTTACATAGTAACATATGTGTATATTACTTAGGATAAACCCTCTCCCTCCCCAAAAAATATCAAAGTGACTTATTTCCACTGGGGTCCTTGAACGGTGTCAGGTTAAAAATAAGACTATCGTTATTGATTTTTCAGTTCTTGTTTGGAAGGTTCATGTTATCACTGTTGTGATTCTTGTATGTAATATTTTCCGATATTGTTACTCCTAGGTCTCCCACATTACTCGTCTCCTCCACTGACTATTTTCATCCTTTTACACTCCCTTCCAGCTCTTATTTCTTTTTTTTTCTACAGCGACGCATCTGAAATTCGTCCTTATTGAATCTCCTTTACGTTCTCATTGAACCTGTTTTGCATCCTCATTGAACCTGCTTTATGTACTCGTTGAACCTGCTTTACAGCCTCATTGAACCTGATTTATGTACTCATTGAACCTGCTTTATGTACTCGTTGAACCTGAGAACCTGATTTATGTACTTGTTGAGCCTGCTTTACATCCTCCTTAAACCTGCTTATGTAATCGTTGAACCTTCTTTACATACTCGTTGATCCTGCTTTACGTCCTCATTGAACCTGCTTTACGTCCTCATTGAATCTGCTTTACATCCTCATTGAACCTGCTTTACGTCCTCATTGAACCTACTTTACGTCCTCATTGAACCTGATTTAAGTGCTCATTGAACCTGCTTTACATCCTCATGGAACCTTCTTTACGTTCTCATTGAACCTGCGTTATGTTCTCATTGAACCTGCTTTATGTCCTCACTGAACCTGCTTTATGTTCTCATTAAACCTGCTTTACGTTCTCATTGAACCTGCTTTACGTTTTCATTGAACCTGGTTCAATTCAAATTCAAATTCAAAGTTTATTCTCTATAAGGATTACAATGCTGACTTTACAGAATTTGGTTATTGTGTGGTTTACATGTAGTTAAATACTAATTACAGAGTGTACCACTAGAACGCTTAGCATGGCTAGGCATTTCGGGCAGACTTAGTTTAATTCTTAAATTTAAAATATTACAAATTATGAGGTAAGTTGGTATTATGGCTAAGTGACTAAATACTAGTTTGTGAGTTTAGCAATGTGAATGCTTTTGTTTTGGCACTATACATAGTTTCAGTATTGGAGTATCACAGGCCAACTTATGACTAGTTAAGATTCATTATTTTAAGATTGAGATTGAGATTTCTGTTTATGGTCAAATGGGTGAGTGAGTGTAAGTGTGAACCACCAGGTGGTATTCGTGTAGTTAGTTGACGGGGTGTATCAGGGAGATAAGATGTTTTCTAATGGTAGTTTTGAAGGTGATGAATGTGTCTGCAGTTCTAGAGTTTTCAAGTAGGGTGTTCCAGATTTTAGGGCTTTTGACATACATTGATTTTTTGTAAAGGTTTAGTCGGACACGGGGAATGTCATAGAGATGTTTGTGTCTGGTGTTATGCCTGTGGGTTCTGTCACAACTATCAAGAAAGCGTTTTAGGTCAAGGTTAATATTGGAATTTAAGGTCCTGTAGATGTAGATTGCACAGTAGTAAGTGTGGATGTACTGAACAGGGAGTAGGTTTAGGTCTATGAAGAGTGGGGGGGGTGTTGCCAGGGATGGGATTTAGTGATTATTCTTACTGTGGCTTTTTGTTGGGTTATTATTGGCTTTAGGTGTGTTGCTGCAGTTGATCCCCAAGCACAAATAGCATAGGTGAGGTATGGATATATAAGTGAATGGTATAGTGTGAGAAGGGCATCTTGCGGCATGTAGTATCGTATCTTGGAGAGGATCCCAACCGTTTTGGATACTTTTTTTTATGTGTTGGATATGGGTGCTGAAATTCAGGTTGTTGTCAAGGTATAGGCCTAGGAATTTGCCCTCATTATGTCTGGCAATTAGAGTGTTGTCGATCTTAATGTTAAGTTGCGCAACACCTGCTTTGCTACCAAACATAATATAGTAGGTTTTGCCAGTGTTAAGATTAAGTTTATTGGCTGTCATCCAAGTCGATATTTTGAGCAGCTCCTCGTTAACAATGGTGTTGAGGGTGGCAAAATTAGGGTGGGAGATAACATAAGTCGTGTCGTCAGCAAAGAGAATGGGTTTCAGGTGTTGGGATATGTTTGGAAGATCCTTGATGTAAATGAAATCACGTCGGTGATTTGTTGTTGTGTTAGTTAGATGCTTCTAACATACACATTCAAACATTTTCAGTAGAAGACGATATTGTGCTATGATGTTTATGTGTTAAACACGAGAATGAGAGCTGGGGTTAGTGATGTGCTTGTAGTAACACTGCTGAGGTGGTGCTGTGCTTGTAACACTGCTGAGGTGGTGCTGTGCTTGTAGTAACACTGCTGAGGTGGTGCTGTGCTTGTAGTAACACTGCTGAGGTGGTTGCTGTGCTTGTAGTAACACTGCTGAGGTGGTGCTGTGCTTGTAGTAACACTGCTGAGGTGGTGCTGTGCTTGTAGTAACACTGCTGAGGTGGTGCTGTGCTTGTAGTAACACTGCTGAGGTGGTGCTGTGCTTGTATAACACTGCTGAGGTGGTGCTGTGCTTGTATAACACTGCTGAGGTGGTGCTGTGCCTTGTAGTAACACTGCTGAGGTGGTGCTGTGCCTGTAGTAACACTGCTGAGGTGTGTTGCTGTAGCTTGGGTGTGTAGTAAACACTGCTGAGGTGGTGCTGTGCCTGTAGTAACACTGCTGAGGTGGTGCTGTGCTTGTAGTAACACTGCTGAGGTGGTGCTGTGCTTGTAGTAACACTGCTGAGGTGGTGCTGTGCTTGTAGTAACACTGCTGAGGTGGGGGCTGTGCTTGTAGTAACACTGATGAGGTGGTGCTGTGCTTGTAGTAACACTGCTGAGGTGATGCTGTGCTTGTAGTAACACTGCTGAGGTGGTGCTGTGCTTGTAGTAACACTGCTGAGGTGGTGCTGTGCTTGTAGTAACACTGCTGAGGTGGTGCTGTGCTTGTAGTAACACTGCTGAGGTGGTGCTGTGCTTGTAGTAACACTGCTGAGGTGGTGCTGTGCTTGTAGTAACACTGCTGAGGTGGTGCTGTGCTTGTAGTAACACTGCTGAGGTGGTGCTGTGCTTGTAGTAACACTGATGAGGTGGTGCTGTGCTTGTAGTAACACTGCTGAGGTGATGCTGTGCTTGTAGTAACACTGCTGAGGTGGTGCTGTGCTTGTAGTAATACTGATGAGGTGGTGCTGTGCTTGTAGTAACACTGCTGAGGTGGTGCTGTGCTTGTAACACTGCTGAGGTGGTGCTGTGCTTGTAGTAACACTGCTGAGGTGGTGCTGTGCTTGTAGTAACACTGCTGAGGTGGTGCTGTGCTTGTAACACTGCTGAGGTGGTGCTGTGCTTGTAGTAACACTGCTGAGGTGGTGCTGTGCTTGTAGTAACACTGCTGAGGTGGTGCTGTGCTTGTAGTAACACTGCTGAGGTGGTGCTGTGCTTGTGTTAACACTGCTGAGGTGGTGCTGTGCTTGTAGTAATACTGATGAGGTGGTGCTGTGCTTGTAGTAACACTGCTGAGGCGGTGCTGTGCTTGTAGTAACACTGCTGAGGTGGTGCTGTGCTTGTAGTAACACTGCTGAGGTGGTGCTGTGCTTGTAGTAACACTGCTGAGGTGGTGCTGTGCTTGTAGTAACACTGCTTAGGTGGTGCTGTGCTTATAGTAACACAGTTGAGGTGGTGCTGTGCTGTAGCAACACAGCACAGCACCACCTTTAATTCCTTGGATCAAGACCCCCCTCCCCTTCCTTTCTCACAGCATCAAGCTGCTTACCTTGAGGGGATGTATAAGGAAATTTTCACTGTGGAGACCTCTTGACTTTTTATTTTATTAACTATTACTCCCAGGGCCTAGTTCCTAGGCCTTTTGCATGTCCATATATTCTTGCGCTATTGTCCACAATAACCTAGCCACTTCGGAGATAGAAATCTAAATTTTGACGTTGCATGATATATTAAGAGGCACGTTAGTAATCTACCTTGTCCATAATTATTATCGCATTTGCTTTGTTTCGTAAGGTGAAGTATAGGATCTTTTCTTAATTCATGGTATAACTTAACAGATCTTTGAGGACAATTGTGTTGCAACACAATTGTTAAGTTATACCATGAATTGACAAGATTCTAGACTTCACCTTACGAAACAGACAAAGCAATTGCTACAGTAATTATGGACAAGGTAGATTATAGTGGAAAAATGAACATGTTATTAGCAGACGGGGGAACTTATGTGCCCCTTAATGTTTATCTATATTCCTCTTCTGTGGTATGGTTTATTTCTCCTCTTTTTGTCATATATTCACGGGGAAGCACTCAACACGTAAGGATCACAAAGGGGGTATGGGAAGTGCTGAGCCTTGTGTTTGTTTCCTGCAGCCCAAGCACCCACACTTCGTCATCGAGTCCAAGAACCCTCACATCCGGCAGAAGTGTGGGTCACAGACGGGGTACGAGTGGGGCATGTGGGAACGTAACTTCAGCCACGGCAGTCATGGACGTAAGAAGAAGCAGACACGGCATCGCTTCACCCGTGACGTGCGCACCACCATCAAGTACATCGAGACTGCGCTCTTCCTCGACAAGAAGTTTGTGAGTATTGTTGTGTTGTGTGGTAGTGGTGAACAGTGTGGTGGTCAGTACTGTGTAATCATTCAATGTAATCATTCAATGTAATCATTCAATGGACTGATGGAGATCTAAACCCAGAATCTGGGTTTACATGTACAATATCTTAATACTGTTCAGTAGAGTCATAAGGTTTCCTCAACTAGCATACTGGGCAGGCGGTTGATGGCGGCTGAGACCCCTTACCTGGAGTATACCTGGAGAAGGTTTCGGGGGTCAACGCCCCCACAGCCCGGTCTGTGACCAGGCCACCTGGTGGATCAGGGTTTGATCAACTAGGCTGTTACTTTATTTATTTATTTATTTATTATTTATTTATTTATTTATTTGAACATGATACAGAAAAGTACAAAAGAATACAATGAAGTGCAGCATGTGAAAGCCCCTTGTATGCAGAGCATTATGGGCAGGCTTAAAATTAAATTAAGATTAACTAAGCAATGATGTGTTCAGTGGTAAAACATTATTGTAAACAGATAGCAATTAAGTCTAATGAGTATTACAAAGACAGGTCATATAAACTGCATAGGGAGACACTGGTCAGAGAAATAGCCAGCATCGAACTTAAGCTAAAGGAATCTTATAGGAGTCAGGAATCGCGGGAAGAACTAAAAGCCATAAATGAAATCGAAAGAAACCCAAAGTATTTCTTCTCCTATGCCAAATCAAAGTCGAGAACAATGTCCAGTATTGGGCCCCTACTTAAACAAGATGGGTCCTACACAGATGACAGCAAGGAAATGAGTGAGCTACTCAAGTCCCAATATGACTCCGTTTTTAGCAAGCCGCTAACCAGACTGAGTCGAAGATCAAAATGAATTTTTTATGAGAGAGCCACAGAATTTGGTTAACACAAGCCTATCCGATGTTATCCTGACGCCAAATGACTTCGAACAGGCGTAAAATGACATGCCCATGCACCTCTGCCCAGGGCCAGACTCATGGGAACTCCGTGTTCATCAAGAACTGCAAGAAGCCCCTATCACGAGCCTTTTCCATCCTATGGAGAGGGAGCATGGACACGGGGTCATCCCACAGTTACTAAAAATCAACAGACATAGCCCCACTCCACAAAGGGGCAGTAAAGCAACAGCAAAGAACTACAGGGCTGATAGCACTAACATCCCATATCATAAAAAATCTTTGAAAGGGTCCTAAGAAGCAAGATCACCCACCCATCTAGAAACCCATCAGTTACACAACCCAGGCAACATGGGTTTTAGAACAGTTCGCTCCTGTCTGTCTCTAACTATTGGATCACTACGACAAGGTCCTAGATGCACTAGAAGACAAAAAGAATGCAGATGTAATATATACAGACTGCAAAAGCCTTCGACAAGTGTGACCATGGCGTAATAGCGCACAAAATGCGTGCTAAAGGAATAACAGGAAAAGTCGGTCGATGGATCTATAATTTCCTCACTAACAGAACACAGAGAGTAGTCGTCAACAGAGTAAAGTCCGAGGCAGCTACGGTGAAAAGCTCTGTTCCACAAGGCACAGTACTCGCTCCCATCTTGTTCCTCATCCTCATATCCGACATAGACAAGGATGTCAGCCACAGCACCGTGACTTCCTTTGCAGATGACACCCGAAGCTGCATGACAGTGTCTTCCATTGCAGACACTGCAAGGCTCCAGGCGGACATCAACCGAATCTTTCAGTGGGCTGCAGAAAACAATATGAAGTTCAACGATGAGAAATTTCAATTACTCAGATACCTCATGGTAAACATGAGGAAATTAAATCTTCATCATAGTACAAAACAAATTCTGGCCACAAAAAAGAGCGAAACACCAACGTCAAAGACCTGGGAGTGATCATGTCGGAGGATCTCACCTTCAAGGACCATAACATCGTATCAATCGCATCTGCTAGAAAAATGACAGGATGGATAATGAGAACCTTCAAAACTAGGGAGGCCAAGCTCATGATGACACTCTTCAGGTCACTTGTTCTATCTAGGCTGGAATATTGCTGCACACTAACAGCACCTTTCAAGGCAGGTGAAATTGCTGACCTAGAAAATGTACAGAGAACCTTCACGGCACGCATAACGGAGATAAAACACCTCAATTACTGGGAGCGCTTAAAGTTTCTGTACCTGTATTCCCTGGAACACAGGCGGGAGAGATTATATACACCTGGAAAATCCTAGAGGGACTAGTACCGAACTTGCACACAAAAATCACTCACTACGAAAGCAAAAGACTTGGCAGACGATGCAACATCCCCCCAATGAAAAGCAGGGGTGTCACTAGCACGTTAAGAGACCATACAATAAGTGTCAGGGGCCCGAGACTGTTCAACTGCCTCCCAGCATACATAAGGGGGATTACCAACAGACCCCTGGCAGTCTTCAAGCTGGCACTGGACAAGCACCAAAAGTCGGTTCCTGACCAGCCGGGCTGTGGCTCGTACGTTGGTTTGCGTGCAGCCAGCAGTAACAACCTGGTTGATCAGGCTCTGATCCACCAGAAGGCCTGGTCGCGGACCGGACCGCGGGGGCGTTGACCCCCGGAACTCTCTCCGGGTAAACATTCAGTAGAATGGAGTATTCTGTTAGGTAATGTAATTAAAAAATAACAAAGTTTGATTGGGTCTCAGGTTAAATATTTCTGTGATACAATTATGAGAAACATTTAAGATATACAATTTATAAGATACAATTATTCAGTATTTACTTGGTTGTGGGTAAGTGATTTTTGAGAAGAGACTTGAATTTATGAACAGATAGTGTTTCTTTTATATTTACAGGTAATGAATTCCAGATTTTAGGGCCTTTTATGTGCATTGAGTTTTTTTTTGCATAGCGTGAGATGGATACTAGGTACATCAGAGTGATCTGTGCCTTGTGTTATGGTCATGTGTTCTGTTGAGGTTGGTAAGGAGATGTTTGAGGGGAGGGTTAATATCAGAGTTAAGTGTTCTATGTATGTAATAGGTGCAGTAATAAGTATGGATGTTTCGTATGGTGAGTAGGTTGAGTGTTGTGAATATTGGTGGAGTGTGTTGCCTGTATTGAGAATTTGTTATCATTCTAACTGCAGCCTTTTGTTGGGTAATTAGTGGTCTGAGATGGTTAGTTGTTGTTGAGCCCCATGCACAAATTCCATAGGTGAGATAGGGTAAATAAATAAATAAATAGGGTAAATATATAGGGCCAGGAGGGCTGACTGTGGAACATAGTACCGTATCTTCGATAGTATGCCTACAGTCTTGGAAATTTTCTTAGAAATTTGTTGTATATGTGTATGAAATTTGACTGTATAGTCCTTGTGGCTTAGCGCTTCTTTTTGATTATAATAATAATGAAATTTGAGTCTATTATCGAGGTGGATTCCTAAGAATTTTCCCTCTGTTAGCTTTGTGATAGGTGATCCGTTTATCATTATGTTAAGAGACACATCTACAGTTCTGTTACCAAACTGAATGAAGTAGGTTTTGTCAATGTTTAGTGTAAGTTTGTTAGTCCTCATCCAGGTAGATATTTTCTGTAATTCGGTATTTACAGTATTGGCTAGTATGACTGGGCTCGGGTGAGAGAAGACGTATGTAGTGTCATCTGCAAATAGTGTGGGTTTGAGTAATTGCGAAGCATTTGGTAGGTCATTTATGTATAGGAGAAAGAGAAGAGGGCCAAGGACACTTCCCTGTGGGACACCAACTGTAATTGGTTGTGCGGAAGAGCTTTGCCCCATTTGTGTACACATATTGGCTTCTGTTGCTGAGGTATGACTTGAGGTAGTTGAGGGAGTGCCCTCTTATACCATAGTGTGACAATTTTATATGGAGCAAATCATGGTCAACTGTATCAAAAGCTTTACGTAAGTCATTGAAGATCCCCAGTGGGACTTCTTTTTTCTCTATTGCAGTGTATATATGTTCTAGCATGTGTATAATAGCATCATTAGTATTTTTATTAGGCCTGAATCCAAATTGGCAGGGGTTGAGAATGTTTTGGGAGATGAGGTAGGAATAGATTCGTTTATGAATTATCATAACCTAACCTAACCTAGCCTTGCCTACCCTAACCTAGCCTAACCTAACCTAACCTAGCTTAGCCTAACCTAACCTAACCTAACCTAACCATAGCAGGTGAGTCCTAAAACACACGGGCCGTTCTGTCATTCGTTTGTAATTTATTTTATTTATTTTTATTTTTTTAGTAATTTGAGCATACATACAGAGGTACAAAAAAGTACAGGTAAGAGCAGCATGCCAAAGCCAAATCGTCTTAAGACGATTTCTTGAGTCATGGTGCTGTATGACCCTTGTGGGTTTAGCGCTTAATTTTTATTATAATAATTGCAGAGTCAAAGTAACTTACTTTCACTTTCCTTCAACAGATGGAGGACAGGAACTACTCTAGAGTGAGAGCACTCAATGATGCTCTGCAAATAGCCAACATTGCTGATCTGGTGGTGCGGTTACATGTTTTTCCCATCAGAAATCTTAATTAACATTATCAGTGCTTTTTGAGTGATGTGTGGTTTTAAATATGGGCTTTCGTGTTTTTTAAAAAGCTTTTGTATTTATACAACGTGTATATGCTAGAAATTAGATTTTTTTGGGGGTTTTGATGTGCTACACCAGGTTAGGGTTGATTTGGCATGTTTAATAAAAAAAGATCGGCAATTTAAAACCGCCAAAACCCCCAAAACAACAAACAGCTAGCAACAGCCAAGTAAAAAACCATGAGCAATCCCAAAATCAACTAAAACCAACATCCACAAAAACCACGCTGACAACCACTCAATCAACAACCATCCAACAGTAACAACAGTCAACTAAAAACCAACATAAAAAAAAAGTGAAACTTACAACACAAGAACAATCAAAGTTTAACCAGAAAACGGAATAAACATAGCCAAGGGTGACACCAGAACAGTAACAACCATCAAAAACAATCACAACAACAGCAAAAAAAAACAACATGTACAACCACAATCAGTAGCAACATGATAAACAATGAAAAACCACCCAAAAAAACACCCTTTACAATAACAACCCCCCCACCCCCACCTACATTTCAGGGACAAAACCCAGATAGAGAAAACATGAACCAAAAGGCTGGGCCTTGTATTCACCCGGGTCGTTTTGACTTGAGGGATTTTGAATAGTAAGTCCTTGGTGCTTGTAATAAGCCCTAAGTTTCAAATATCTTGTGGAAGAAACTTGGAGAGAAAAAAAAGACAGAAAAATGGGGAAAAACCCAAATTTCAAATGGAAATACAGAATGAGGCCAAATTCCAAATTAAGTGAAGGGGGAAAGGGAACAGCGAATGAATGATGAAGTGGCAAGGGAAAGTGCCAGGAAGCAGATGAAAATTACCCCCCAAAACCCAGAAAAAGCAATAGAAAAGAACAGAGTGAGTCCATGGATCCCCAGAGGTGTAAGAGGCAAAGACAAAAGGCTAGAACATAAAAAAAAGAAGTAGGCAAAAATGCAGAACAAGAAAGGAGCAAAAGAGCCAAGATAATAGGCATTTGTAAGAAAAGGGCCAATGACTTTTAAAAAATGATAGCACCAAAAGCAAAACCCAACCCCATTGCACACAACCACTCAGGAAGCAGCAGTGAGAAAAATAGGTAATCGGGGCTAAAACAAGGAGGGAGAGCTCACAGGATCAGCAAAAAATTTGAGAAAGAAAAATTGGGGGTAGGGGGAAGTAGACTGCCCCACAAGTGCTGGGTGCCTGCAACAACATTAGAAAAGGAATAAAAAATATTTGTGAGCTAGATACCTTAAGGCGTTGTCAGATCCTATCCATGGATCCGAGAAAAAAACGAGCACAAGCACTGGTGAGCCCCTGGCCACACTCAATCAGTTGACACAGGGGAAAGTCAAAAGTTTTGGAAAACGCAAATGTGGGCAGTATTTAAAAAGTGAGACAGACTTTACATTGAAAATTTCAGGTCAGTGTCAGGAAAATTTATTTTTTTTTATTTTTTTATTTTTTTATTAATTTGAAAATGATACATAGAAACAAAGAAATACAGGATTAAAGGGAACATGCGAAAACCCCTTGATGCGAGCATTTTGGGGGACTTAAAAAAAACTTTAAATTAACTAAGCATTATTATTTTTAGTGAAAACATTATTGTAAAAAAATAACAGTTAAGCCAAAAGGAGTTTTCAAAGAGGTCAAAGGTCATTTACTGTGTTTACATTTAGTAGAAGAAGTATTTTGTTAGGAATGTAATTAAAAATAAAAAGTTAGATGGGGCACAGGTTTTAAACTTTAAGGTACAAATTTTCCGATTTTTTTAGTTGGGGGTGAGTAAAAATGCTTTTAAGAAGAGATTGAATTTTTTACGTGTTTTTTTATATTAAGGTAATGAAACCGTTTTAGGGCCTTTTTTGTGATTGAGTTTTTGCATAGGTGAGTGGATAGAGGGAAACAAAGAGTGATCTGTGCCTTGGTTATGGTATGTTTGTTGAGGTTTTTAAGGGATTTTTGGGGGGGGGGTTTAATCCCAGTTAAAATGTTCTTGTATGTAGTAGGTACAAAATAAGTATGGATGTTTTGTATGGTGAGTAGTTAGAGTTTTGAAAATTGGTGGAGTGTGCTGCCTGAGTGGGAATTTGTTATCTTCTGACTGCGCCTTTTGTTGGGTAATTAATTCAAATTCAAATTCAAATTAAAGTTTATTCCTATAAAATGTCGGGGGTATGCGGGTGACAAGAAAAAGATGTTGCTGATGTTAAATTTAAAAAGAAGTTGGATGTCCTGGGCCCCAAGCGAAACAAAAGCTGAAGGGGGTTGGGGAGTTTTTGGTGGGGGGAAATAAGGGATTTTAAAAGGAGTATTAGGGTTGGCAAAGGAAGGGGTACAAAATGTTGAAATCAGTTATGGAAGGGGAAAAAAGAATTAATGGTAAATTCAAGAATTTTTGGATTAAAGTAAAGGTTTGGGTGCGAGAGTGGGTCTAATAACGTGAAAGACCGGAGAAAAAGGAATGCAGAGGAGAGGAGAGATTTTGGGGGATGTTTAAATGAATATATGGAGCCTTTTTAACCAAGTGAGGAAATAATTGTGGTAGGGACCCGAAAGCTAAAGTAGGGGGGAAAAAATTTTGAGAGGGGGGTAGGTAAGTTTTGGGGGGCCAGGTGTAAAAAGATAATGAGGCCCTTTGATTGAACTTTGTTTTTAGAAAGGGGGTTAGTTATAGGGAACTATTTAAGAAAAAAGGAAAATAAGAAACAAGATTGAGTAGGGGAATGACAGTGTTTGGGGGATTAGTATTGGTAGATAAAAGATTTAGTAGACTTGGAGTACGTTTATAAAGGGGGCCCCAGATATATCAGATCCTTTCTAGTTGTAGCTCATGAGAGTAAAAGGTGATGGGGTCAAGGGGAAAAAAAGCATCAGGGAAAGAGAGGGGAAGGTTTAAAACTAAAAGAGGAGGCAGTTGGGTAAATTAAAAAAGCTATTGGGGGATTGATGGGCTAAGAGGATGCAATGGGTCAAAAAGGTAGGGGTAGTTTTAAAAAAGTATTTGGTGTTCGCAGAAGTTTTTGGGTTTCAGGAAAAGGGGGGGGGGGAGGGAAGAGGAGCGATTGGTGGGAAAGAGAGTGAAGAAAGAGTAAGGGAGAAAAAGTTAGCATATGAGAAGTTTTTACAAAGTAGAAGTGATGCAAGGAGGGAAGAGTATATGGATAAAAAGAGAGAGGTTAAGAGAGTGGTGAAGCAATGTAAAAAGAGAGCAAATGAGAGAGTGGGTGAGATGTTATCAACAAATTTTGTTGAAAATAAGAAAAAGTTTTGGAGTGAGATTAACAAGTTAAGAAAGCCTAGAGAACAAATAGATTTGTCAGTTAAAAATAGGAGAGGAGAGTTATTAAATGGAGAGTTAGAGGTATTGGGAAGATGGAGGGAATATTTTGAGAATTGTTAAATGTTGATGAAGATAGGGAAGCTGTGATTTCGTGTATAGGGCAAGGAGGAACAACATCTTGTAGGAGTGAGGAAGAGCCAGTTGTGAGTGTGGGGGAAGTTCGTGAGGCAGTAGGTAAATGAAAGGGGGTAAGGCAGCCGGGATTGATGGGATAAAGATAGAAATGTTAAAAGCCGGTGGGGATATAGTTTTGGAGTGGTTGGTGCAATTATTTAATAAATGTATGGAAGAGGGTAAGGTACCTAGGATTGGCAGAGAGCATGCATAGTTCCTTTGTATAAAGGCAAAAGGGATAAAAGAGAGTGCAAAAATTATAGGGGGATAAGTCTGTTGAGTATACCTGGGAAAGTGTATGGTAGAGTTATTATTGAAATAATTAAGAGTAAGACGGAGAATAGGATAGCAGATGAACAAGGAGGCTTTAGGAAAGGTAGGGGGTGTGTGGACCAGGTGTTTACAGTGAAACATATAAGTGAACAGTATTTAGATCAGGCTAAAGAGGTCTTTGTGGCATTTATGGATTTGGAAAAGGCATATGACATATGACGATCTGTTGAAGTGTGAGCAGGGTAATATTTAGTGAAGGGATTCAGGGAAACCGGTTATTTTCATATAGTTGGACTTGAGTCCTGGAAATGGGAAGTACAATGCCTGCACTTTAAAGGAGGGGTTTGGGATATTGGCAGTTTGGAGGGATATGTTGTGTATCTTTATATGTGTATGCTTCTAGACTGTTGTATTCTGAGCACCTCTGCAAAAACAGTGATAATGTGCGAGTGTGGTGAAAGTGTTCAATGATGATGAAAGTATTTTCATTTTGGGGATTTTCTTTCTTTTTTTGGGTCACCCTGCCTCGGTGGGAGACGGCCGACTTGTTGAAAAAAAAAAAAAAAAAAAAAAAATATGACAGGGTGGATAGGGGGGCAATGTGGCAGATGTTGCAGGTGTATGGTGTAGGAGGTAGGTTACTGAAAGCAGTGAAGAGTTTTTACGAGGATAGTGAGGCTCAAGTTAGAGTATGTAGGAAAGAGGGAAATTATTTCCCAGTAAAAGTAGGCCTTAGACAAGGATGTGTGATGTCACCGTGGTTGTTTAATATATTTATAGATGGGGTTGTAAGAGAAGTAAATGCGAGGGTCTTGGCAAGAGGCGTGGAGTTAAAAGATAAGAATCACACATAAAGTGGAGTTGTCACAGTTGCTCTTTGCTGATGACACTGTGCTCTTGGGAGATTCTGAAGAGAAGTTGCAGAGATTGGTGGATGAATTTGGTAGGGTGTGCAAAAGAAGAAAATTGAAAGTGAATACAGGAAAGAGTAAGGTTATGAGGATAACAAAAAGATTAGGTGATGAAAGATTGGATATCAGATTGGAGGGAGAGAGTATGGAGGAGGTGAATGTATTCAGGTATTGTGGGAGTGGACGTGTCAGCGGATGGGTCTATGAAAGATGAGTGTGAATCATAGAATTGATGAGGGGAAAAGGGTGAGTGGTGCACTTAGGAGTCTATGGAGACAAAG